CTACTGGAATTGAACTTAGGGTCTTCACACTAAGATACATATTCAACCCCTTTTTCTTTTTCTTTTTTTTTTTTTTGGTACCAGGGGTCCTTGCGCTTGCACAGCAGGAGGTGAAACCACTGAGCTAAATCCCCGGCCCCTTTTTTATTTTTTAAGACAAGGTCTCACTAAGTTGCTAAGTTTCCCAGGCTGAGCTCGAACTTGTGATCCTTCTACTAACTTTAGCCTTGCAAAGGGCTGGGATTACAGGTGTGCTCCTCTATGCCAGGCTACTGACTGAGCACTCATAACTGCACCAAGAAAGTGAGCTAAAACACCAAGAAAGTGAGCTAAAAGGCAGATTTCTTTTCAAGGATTCTTGAAAGGATGATACCCCTAAAAAATGTGGGGGGGCATTGTTTATTTGTGGTGTTGGTTATGGAAACTACAGACTGGCACATGCTAGGCAAGTGCTTTATGACTAAACCCTGAGAAGTGTCTGATTTAACAGGCACAGTAGAGGAGTCTGATACAGGTGTTCTGAAGAACGTATTCAAAAAACACTTCCATATTATGGAGAAGGCCTTTTCCAATGTGCTTCTTAAAATAGTTTAAGGTAGCTCTAGATTTCAATTTGAGTCCATTTTAGTACTCTTAGTGGAGAGTATTTTCTTTTTTAGAATATTTTCTTGTTTCCAGGATAATATGCTATTTTTTTTACTCAAATCTTACAGGACAGACAAGGAACTGTTTTTATATTATATGAACACCTGAAGAGAAACAAGTTGGGCATGTTGTGAGTATGAAGTATCTATGAGATGTAATAAAAGCTAATAGATTATCACAACTAATGAGATGATTTTCATCAGTATGCTGGTTTATAGGAAGTCCATCTTGTTTTCTTTAGACCTTCAGGTAATTCGTAAAGTGACTTTAGATACGTTGGTCAGGGTTCATAAATATAATTATCCAAAAATCAATGGGTAGAGTGTACAGTATATCTGACATATTCCACTCAAGCTCATGCACATATAAGAGACAACAAGTCTGACTGATGGGGAACCAGCTCAGATGTCCCAGTTGTGAAGACAGTTGTTATTCTTGCATACTTAGAAAACTGCTCAAGTGATTTAGCAAGATGTCCCTCCAAAATGTAGGGCCAGGGCCAGCTTTGGCCCTGGTGCAGTCTTCTCAAGGTATGTGTGTATGGAGCACAGTCCTGTTGGAAGTCATGTCACCCTCATCAGTCCCTTTGAACTTATGATAATGTTCAGCTGTCTCTCCCTTTTGGAGCTAGAATGCGGCTATAATTTAATGAAGTGATTAAAGTCTTAAATACTTTTTAGCACCCAGGAACAGGACAACATGGATGTTTGAGTCCTCTGCTCCACTACCAACATGCAGAACTTCCTGGGTTTTATTAAGAAAGCTTCTTTATTAAGGGCTCTGTCATTTTGTTTTACTGCAGTAATAACAACAGAAATGAGGCATCCCTCCATCACAATCCAGCAAATATGCATGCATCTGATCTGCCCAGGTGTTCATATCTAGAATGGTAACAAAGCCACAGACATATCTAGGCATGGGTATGGAAGGAGCTGCCCTTTGCTTTCCAGTGATGTGCTGTTCCTCCGTTCCTTCTTTCCCCTCAGGCCCAAGCTACTGTGCTCTCTCCAAATTGTCACTATGATGCTAAGGCTATGTCAGGACATAGACCACGGGGCAGTTACTGTGATTAGGAGAACCAAGCAGTCAACCCAATTTAATGTTGGAGAGCTGTCCAGAAACTGGTATTTTCCAGAGCATGAATCCAATAAACAGGAAACAGTCATGGTCCAAGTATATTTCTAAACTCAGGAATTGAGACAAATGGGTTCATTAAGGACAAGAACTAGAAATCAGAACACAGAGATATGAACTCTGTCTTGCTAACATGAAAGGTAGCTGCAGAGGATGAGCTGGGCCGGGATTGGAACTAGACAAACCCTCTTGCACAGGGGATAAGGCTGAGAGGGGTGAGCTCCTTTCTGGTGATGGGAGAAGTGCAGCCAGATAGGCCAAATCCAGACCCAGGATTCGGGTGCCTCCAGGACATCCCAAGATGCTAGCAGCTCACATTAGGAAAGTTCCAAGCACGAAGAGCAAAAGGACAATCTGATAGTTGGGAAGGAGGGTGACTAGGAGCTCAAAGAAAAGATTATGTTATGGTTATAACTAAAGCCACATGGAGTGACTGAATCATGGAGCGCTGTAGCTAAATGTGATTCTAGGAGGTGGGGCCTAGTGAGAAGAAGGTGGTTACTGGACTCAAGACCCGATAGTCCTGAATTCCTCCCTTTTCTGCTTCCTAGCTGTCATGATGTAAGCACCCTGTCCTCTCTTTAGGAAAGGTGAGGGGACTTCAAGAGGGGATGATTTTACAGACCAGATTTAGGGTTTGGCGTTTCTGGAATAACTTCATACTGACTCCATTTATTCTGGGATTTCTGGGAAATAATGGAGAAATTTCAAGAAAGAAAAAAATGAAGAAAATTCTAGAAATGAATGAACTACCAGGGAAGGGGGCAAGAAATCAAGTAGAGACCTGTGTCTCTGACTCTCTGTCTCCCCCCCACACACACAGGCATGCAGTGTCTGTCCTCTCACTCTTCCATAATTTCTTTTAAGAATGGATCTCTATTTTTAGTGTATATCTGAGAATCACCTAGAGGCTTGGTGAAACAACATACTCCTGGGCCCCAAAACCAAATATTCTGGTTTTGTTAATTCTGGGTGGATCCCAGGAACTTGTTGTCTTAAGAAGCACCCAGGGTCTAATACATACTGATCCCATGGTAAAGACAATACAAATTATTTTTCAAAACTAATGATTCTGAAATTGCCTTTGGCTATTATTTATTTTCTTAAAAGAAGAGATAATAATGTTTAGCAGCTACAAGGGGTAGGCCCTCCTCAGATTTTGGGAACGTAACGCAAAAAGTTCAGGGCTGGGAGATTTAGCTCAGTGGTGCCGCGCCTGCCTTGCCTGGCAAGTACAAAGTCCTGAGTTTGATCCCTGGTAGCAAAAAAAAAAAAAAGAAGTTCAGAAGCACTGACTTAGTCCAGTTCCTTCATTTCAGAGAAAAAATGAAGATCCAGAGAATTTAAGTCAGTCAGTGGCAAGACAAAAAGCCCTGGTCTCCTGTCTTAGGGACTGGGCTGCTTTTCATGCCACCCTGAACCAAGGGAAAGCCTGTGAGGCTGGAAGGCAGACATCCATGAGGGCCCAAGCCCTAGGCTCTAAGGGGACTTACTTTATAGATAACAACTGGGGAAGAAGTAGGCCTACAGTTTTTTACAGCTGCCTTAAGGAGACTCTCTTTATATTCACCCCTCATGACAAAACAATTTTTAAAATTTAATCCTTTTGATTAACCTTTTTTCCCTTTTAATAAAAAAAGTTTTTTAAAAAGTTAGGAAAGTACCCCCGAGTTTTGTTTCCAAGTTAAAACATACAACAATCTAGTTGTTTGGGAATATTCATGGACCACAGCATAATGCTACAGGATGGTTTTGTCTCTGAAACTGTAAAGTGAGTGTGCGGCTTTATAAAGATGTTGTTCATGAATGGGACACACTGTCCTGGAACCTGAGTGGGGGCAGTTCATTTGGAATAAAAAATAAACCCAGACAAAAGTCTTTGGGCCGGTTGTGGTGGCACATACCTATAATCCTAGCACTTGGGAGGCTGAGGCAGGATTGCTGCAAATTCGAGGCAAGCCTGGACTACATAGTGAGTTTAAGGCTAACCTGAACTACATAGTGAGACTCTGTCTCAACCCCTCCCCCCAAAAAAAGTCTTGAGTAAATACAGGGAGCAAATGTCTCTATAGCAACAATTCTGTTTAACTAACATAGTTTGCAAAATGAGCTAATACTACTGTCCTACCTCAGTAGTATCCTTTTGCTAGAAATGACTGAGCCTATTGCTATATCCTGCTAAGTTGATTAATAAAAAATATTTATTACACAAATCCTTTTTGTTGACAAGTTAAAATGGAGCCTCATCTTTCATATCTCCCTGAAGATTGCCACCTTGTGAGATTGAAAATACTCATTAAATTCCATCATCAGCCGCACAAATGAGAGGCCCATTGTTTTTAAGCATGTGAGGGGATTCATTGCTAAACTCATTTGTTTGGATATCATTAACAGAACAATCGGTGTGGATCTCCAGGGGGTCCTCATGACCTTTGCTCACAATCTCTTCATCATCCATCAAGAAATATCAGCACCTAATATGCAAGGCGAGACCAATTTTAAGGTGAGGTGTTAATTAACTAACGATCCTGCTTAATTTCTATACAAGGGCTGAAAATACCTCATGCTGTATTGTAAACAAGTGCTAAACCATCTTTTTTTTTTTTTAATTGTAAGCAGTACATATTTTACGTTGTGCAGGGTCAATATTGTAAGGTTCCCATTGAACCCATTAGTTAAATTTAATAGTTTGAAACTTTTTCTTTGAAACACAGCAGACTTGCTTTAACTTGCTGCCACCTCAAATCCAAGCTCAAGAGACAACAGAGCTTTCTGATGTTGGAGGTGATGCTGAAATATCACAATAGAGCCAAAATAGAGACTGTCACAACCAAAATTTGAGAATGTAATTTATCTGTATTTGAGATACTATAATGTCTAGCTAGTGATTAATGGGGAGCCTCAGTTTTTAGAGCCAGAGAAGTTCTGAGGCCTAAAAAGACGATATGTATTAAACAGAAGCAGAAGAAAATCTCAGAATGTATGTGGACCATCTGTTTCACCTCACTATTCCAAAGTAGGGTGGATGTTTCACTGGTAACCTTCTGAATCTTCCATATGGCCTCTAAAGATATTGCAGTTGTATGTAATTCACTAGATGTTTCCAAATTCTAAAATACAGGAGCAAGGCCTGTACAGGAGATTTGAGACACTAGCTGAACAGAGATAATGGCTTGGTATTGATCAGCAAGATCTGATTTGCAGCCCAGGCCTCCATTATGTTTGAACAGGTCAAGTAACTCAAAGGACTCACGTGGAAAGCACATATGATTTTTCTCTTAAACAGAAAGCCCAATATAACTTGATGAAAATATGATTTTTATTACATTTTTATCTCAAGCTAGGGCCAGACCCCTTTAGTAACAATAACAATGACAACAATGCTTTACTTTTCAAAGGGATTATAAGAAATGGGAGAATGTCCATTTCTTTTTCTGCAACATGACTGAAAAGATTCCATGAAAATAGACCAGTGTTACATCAATATTTGCTAGTACTAAGGGATGTGTGGTGATTTGGACATGGTTTGAGTGTGTCCCCCAAAGGTTCATGTGTTGGAAGCTTAGTCTCCAGGGTGGCAATGTGAAAGGTGATGGAACATTGAAGAGGTGGAGCCCAATGGGAAGTCACTGGCATCACCCTCCAAAGAGAATGGAGTGGTTCTCATAAGACACTGTTCAGTTGTTCAAGAATGCTGTTATAAAAGAGGATGAGTGGCCTCTCCTAGCTCTCTGTTTTCCTGTCTCATTATGAGATTTCTCCCTCTTGAATGAGATCCTACCATACCATCTGACATGATGTGATGAAGCCCAAGGAACACTCACTCAAAGCCAAATTGATGGGACTACCCAATCTTAACAGAAGTCCAATATTGATACATTGCAAACATAAAACTTCAGTGAAAAAAATTAAAGAAGACCTAAATAAATAGGAGGATATTCTGTTCATAGAGTGGAAGTTTCAATATTAAGATTGCAATCCTCCTCAAACTGATCTATAGATTCAGAGCAATTCCTATCAAAATTCCATCTGGCTTTTTTGTAGAATTTGACAAGATGATCCTAAAATTTGTGTGGAAGGGCATGGGACTCAACCTATGGGCAGGGGAGACTCACTTTTCTCAATTTCAAAATTCACTACAAAGCTACAATAATCAAGAAAGTGTGGTATTGACATAAAAATAGACATACACTAGACTTGAGAGACCAGAAATAAAACCAAATATTATGATGAATTGATTTTTCAATAAGGGTGCCAAAGTAATTCAGTGGGAGCAAGAATGGTCTTTTTAATAAAAGAGGCTGGAACAAATAGGTATCCATACACACATAATAAAGTTGGACACCATAAACAAAAGTTAAATCAAAATGGATCAAAGACCTAAATGTAAGAACTAAAACTATACAACACTTGGAAGAAAACACAGGTGTAAGTCTTCATGACTTTAGATTAGCAATGGTTTCTTAGATATAATACCTAAAGCATAAACAACCTAAGTGAAAATAGATAAATTAGACTTAATCAAAATGAAAAGCTTCTGGGCACTGGGAATATAGCTTAGTGGTCAAGTGCTTTCCTAGCACATGTAAGCTCAGCCCCTAGCACCTCAAAACAAAATTAAAACAGAAATAGGTGAATTCTATTATATGAATATTCATGTAATGGAATACTATTCAGCGATAAAAAAGTGATGAAGTAGTGATGATCTGTGCTATAATATGGATGAACATTGAAAATGTTATGCTAAGTGAAAGAAGCCACTCACACAAGGACAAATATTTTTTATGATTCTATATATACAAAATGCATAGGGTAGGCAAATCCACAGAGACAGAAGGTAGGTTAATGATTGCCAGAGGCTGAGGGAGAAGGGGAAATGGGGAACAGGGTTTCTATTTGGGGTGATGAAGATGTTCTGGAATTACATAGTTGTGCTGGTTGTCTGTGAATATACTAAATACCACTGACTTGCACATTTTTGAGGAGTGAATTTTATGATATGTGAATTATACCTCAATTTAAAGTGAATTAATTAAATTAATTAATTAATGCAGTTCAGCATAGAATACTTGCCTAGCAAGGTCCTGAGTTTGATTCCCAAAAACTAATTAATTCACTAAAAATGAAAAGCTGTCATTCTTTTATCTCAGAAACCAATGGAAATAAACCTTCTCAGCTTACCAACCCTCACTTGAGGATGACTAGGCCAGAACTTATCTGTAGTGAAGAGCCTATATGTTTTTTTCTGACATATCAGGGATCAATGCCTTTTTAAAATGCAGAAAAATTGAATCACTAGAAAAATGAAAAAATTAAAGAAGTACAGTATAGCTCATTGTCTACATTTTTAGACTTAGCATAAGAATTCTAGTAAGATTTCCACATTTTAAAAATTCACTTTAGCAATAATTTATAATGGTAACCAATAATTTATAGATGGGCACCAGTCAATGAAACAAACTTTGTGCAGAATTGGTCTGAATCATACTAAACTCCAAAAAGGAACAAGTTCTTGGGAGGAGAGGGTTTGTAACAGGTCTTTAAATAATGAATATTATTTTATTGTTATTTACAGACCACCATTGATGATATCAAAACCATTCTAGGAGTAACAAGGGAAAACAAAATGAGATTTGAAGAAGAACTACAGTCCAAAGATGATAAAAACCTCTCTAAGGCTGATAAATGATCCTGAAACACATTACAATTTGGGAATCCCAGTCTGGAGAAAGAAAGGGCAATATTTCTTCTGGTATTAGGAATAAAAGTGGTGGTGGGTGGAATGAATTTGTTTTGTTTGCTAAAATGTGAATCAGAACAGGTTATAATGGTTTACTTTTTTAAAAAAATGTATTAAAATGTATTAAGAGCTTATTTTACTCATTAAACCAAAACTTAGGGGTGTTTTCACTCAATAATGTTAAATAATCCCTTCCTCTTCCCAAACTTTGGAAAAATAATCTGATAAAAAACAAATTTACAACTTTTACCCTTATCACTTCTACATATACTTCTCTATAAGCTTCAGGATTATGAAGCTCTTGTTTTTTTAATGTTTTGTAAAGTTTTCTCCTATTTCTATGAGTAACTTACTGCATTTAAAACATTGAATGAAGGCCGAGTTACTATTTGTCAAAATACAAATGTCCTTTTTTCTAAGAAACTTCTATTTATATGAAATTTTAAATGACTCTTTATCATTCTCTGTATGTTTATTGTACCCAGCCTCTATTGTTTGTTGCTATTGTCTTTCTTCAAGAAGTGGAAAAAGCCAACATCTAGTTAACCAAAGCATCAGAATGTGTCTAGGTGGCAGTATCTGCTCTTAGTTTAAGATGCAGTGTAACTCAAGCCTCTAGCTTGAATAAACGTTTGTCTTTTTCTAGTTCTCCATTTAATATAGCAGTAGGATTTTTACAAGCTGGATTCAACTGTACTTTTTAAAGGGCGAACTGTTAATGTTATTCAATGCTGACACCAACCCTTGGCATTTGCTTTATAATTGTCCAAACTATTTCTACATCAGCTTTACTGAAGAGTGAAATATGCAAGGTGCAGCACCAAATCACATATGATATAAAGAAAAACATATCTATGAAAAAAACTTGAATGTACTGGAAAATGAATATTTTTTAAACTATGGAATTTTACTAAATTTTTAACTGCTTCAGCCACAGGGTAAGAATTTCTGCAATAAAAATTAACAGTTCTCTGTGTGTCAGATTTTGTTTTGCCATAGTTGGAAATACATTAATTAGCCAGGTTTCCCGCCTGTGCTAGGTGCAAGGATGACCTCTTTTTCTTGCCAGATTTCTCCAATCCATATGAGGGGCCTATTGTCCAGACACTTGACGGATAGGAAGTACTACATGCCCGTTAGAGTCGAGCCTCTATTGAAGCCAGAGCAACATAAGGTCCAAGAGACTCATTAGTTCACTGGCACAGTCGTGTCCTGAGAGTAAATGAAACCCTCTGTCTCCTTATGGCTCTCATCTGCTCTGGACATTAAAAGAAAACTGTCTCCATTTTGTTCAGCACAGCAGTGGATCATTCACATGGCAAAAAAAACCCCACTTACTGGTACAAAACTATTAAATCCATCAGGGAAGTTTTGTATGTGGATTTTGATTAGCACTCCTGAGCCTCAAGCTGCTGGCAAAACAAGTTCACTCTCCTGTACCATTTTTTTTACCCACATGATTGGTTTCTCAAACAATGCTGTTTGTCTCCTTTGCAAACATCATTACCATATACCACAGAATGCCTGTTTCCAAACCCAGGCCTTCTATCCAGATTCAGATTCCTTAGAAAGTGATTGGGAGTAAGGTTCTTTACCTAAACACCTACAGCTTCAAAATGAAAGATGAAAAATTAGTATAATAAAACAATCTCATCATGTAATTAAGTGGAAGAAACCAGAGGACCAGATTAAATTAGTGAAATGTTTTAATTACAGAACATTTGAAAAGAAGCATAGACCACTACCTTTTCGCACATATATGTTACAAAGATACTGTGCTACTGGTAAATTAAATTAAGTTGGAAACATTATATATGCACAATGTCTATAGTATCCCAAACACAATTTGGTCAAGATGAATTACAGAGTTTTTGCTATTCTAAAATAGGAAACTGATGGGGCCAGGGATTTAGCTCAGTGGTTTTGCCGACTGCTGTGCAAGTGCAAGGACCCGAGTTCAATCCCTGGTACCAAAAAAAAAATTAAAAAAATAAAAAAATAAAATAGGAAACTGAAATCTTTGTTGGTTACAGGATTCCTGGAAAATGATGTGTCATTTTTTAGGAAATTTTGGGAAAACATATGAATTGAATAGTTAAGCTACCTTTGTATGAGAGATGATCCACTATTTAATGATGAATCTTTGCAAAGTTTGGAGAAGCAAACTATATTATTTAGGAGAACATAATAGGAAAAGTATCTCCTTTAGTGTATTACTCATTTTACACTAACTTTAGTAAAACCAACTAGAATATTAAATGGCAGACAACCTGTGCTGTCTACCTCCATAGCTACCTACCTTCCACTATCTATTTATACTGTATTTACCACTTATTAACACTTGCTAGGGGCTAGGTATGTACTATGCTAGCTTTATGTATTTTATCTTATTGCATCTTTCCAACAAATCCATGCAGGTAGATACTACTACTATCCTCATTTTACATGGGAGGAAGTTAAGTTTTAGTATCTTACCCCATACTTTAGGCTAACTGAAAATAATTTTTGGGTTTCCTCTCTTTTGCCATATATTCTAGTATGTTGTACAAAAATTCAAGTCAGTTTCACTTGTCCTAGATCATACAAGGAGTTCTCTCTGTTCTATAACAAAGTCTTGTGGGTTGCTTAAATAGGGAAAAATGGCTTAATTTACACACACCTCCTGCTAATAAAATTGACTTGTGTGATTGGTAACATAGTAGGACATTGCAATTTTGTGATCCAATAAATCGGTAGAAGATAAAGTGGTGTCCCTAGAATTTTCCAATGGTGAGGGGTGTGTAAGACTAGTAAAGGAACACCACAGGAAAGTACAGAAGTCTGGAAGCTGGGAAGTCATGTCCCAGTTTTGAGAAATGGATATGAGATCAAGAAACCCTGGGGCTGGGGATTTAGCTCAGTGGTTTCGCAGCCTGCTGCACAAGCTCAAGAACCCGAGTTCGATCCCTGGTACCAAAAAAAAAAAAACCCTGGAAGGGTTAGAAGAGGGCTCTTTACAAGATGTAGAATAACCAAGGAGAAGTTTGGGGTACCTTATTTCAGCTATGTCATTCTAACAATCGCAAGCATTCTATTTTTCAGGTATAAAAATATGTATTTTTATCATAAGTAATATATTAGCAACCATCTTATAGCTCTCACAATTAATAATCATTTGTATTCGTCTGGCACCTTTCTTCTAAAGAGCTCAAAGCACTTTACATTTGTTATCTCATTAATTCCCAACACTGTCCCTGTGGGGAAGGTAATAAGTATTTTAACATTTAAATGTTTATCTTTCAAAATTTCTCAAGCATACTTTAATTATATTTCCAAAAATGTAAATGTTCATTAGTTTTATTTTACTGTTCCTCTAGCTTTAATGTGCCTAACACATTTGCTCAACTCTTCAAATGGCCTAATCAGAGCAAATCTTACTTGGAAAACTATAAATTAAGTTCCCAAGATAATGTGAGGGTAGAAACTGGGGAAGGGAGGAAATGTTTGCTGGAAGTTTAGTCCAACCCCTTTTCAGGTGCAAACACAATGTGCTGTGGCTTTTCTGTATCTTTCCTTATCCCATTTATTATGGGCTGGATATGGTGTGAGTAGGCCCCCAAAGGTTCATGTGCTGGGGTCTTGGTCAACAATAGAGAGGTAGGTGGTGGCCCTTTAAGAGGCAGGCCCGGCTGGAGGGTAATTAGTCCTGGGGGCACTGCCCCTAGAAAGGATTAATATAGTTCTCCACAGGATTAGTTCTTGCAAGAGTGGATGGTTATAAAACAAGGCCACTCCCATGTGCTCAACCTCTTCTGAACATGGTTGTTTCCTTTTTCAGTTCTCTTGACATGTTATGACACAGCCAAGCAGGCCCTAGCCAGCTGCTGGGACCATATTTGGTTCTTAAGCTAAACAAATGTCTCTTCTTTATAAATAACCCAGCCTCAGTGATACTGTACAAAAACACAAAATGGACTAAGACACCATTCCGAGGTAACACAGAAGGGTCAGGACTGTGTCTACGGAGCCTGAGGCTAACTGAGCTTCTATTTATATGATTGTTTTATTAGTGATTTCATCAACATGGAACAGAAAGCTGATGCATTCTAGTGGGAGTTACCTCCCAAAGAGTTACTGAACAATAATGGACAGGAACTCATCTCCATAGCCCTCCCTCCCTCTGGTCCGGGCAATACCTTCAATTTTCTACACAGAAAAATGGCAGACAGTATACCTGCTCCTTAGGGAAGCAGTGGAGATTAATTGCCAATGTTGGGAGAGTGTTTCAAAGATGAAGCATTCTACATAAATGTTTAAATATTATCATTACATTGCTACTTCAAATGGAAGTTCTAACTTTGAAATGTGATTATATACTTTCCAGAAAAAAAAAAACCTTCATAACCACATATATAGGTTTATTTTTCACTCTAACAGTCTAACTCATGGTTGTGAAACTTTATTACTCTTGATGGAGGGCCTTGGCTTTTATTAGTTTTAAACTGCTGGTTTCTGGGGTATTTATGTAAATGAGGAAAAGATAACAAAACAGTAAATAATAAGCATGTCCCTGCTGTTTAAAAATGTTGGTAAAAACAACTTTTGTTTTTTCTTATAAGACCCTAAACATAGCACAGAAAATACAGCTTTGGGATCAATGCATAAAATAGGAATTGGGGTTTTGTTTTGGGGTTTTTTGGCTTTTTCTTGCTTTTGATAGTGCCCCCCACAGCATGTCTTTATCATTCTGAAAACATTTTGTTTTCATTTCTATAACTGTACATATTTATGTGTGTGATATGATGGATATCTTCACTATGTTGATGTGCAAATGGTTTCTTGGGTGCATACGTATGTCAAAACTTACCAAACTACGCTTTAAATACTGTCAAAGATAAACAAGGCTACACACTAAAGTAGTAAGAGCTGATTTAACCAGTACACACTATTACAATAAAGAGTCCAATGTGAACCAAAGTCAACTTTTATTTGTAGAGGTAACTAGATGTTTTAAAGGATGGAGGCTGAGGGAATAGGAGAGGGAGTGAGTGGCTTAGCAGAGTCAGGGACATGAAAAATAACCAGAAGCAGAAAAGCCATTTTGGTTTGCTGATTGATGCTTATAAAGTCAGACTCTTATCTTCCCACAGAGACAGAGGATGGAGGCC